TTTTCGTCATTCTGTCTTACAACTTCTAGAGTAAGGTTCAAAATTAAAGAGAGAAAAACTATAGCCTTCAAGAGAGTTTGAAAGAAGCAGGCATAGCCTTCTCTGTATCCATTTATAGCAGAACTCCAAGAGGTCTTTATATCTATTAGGATATGCAGCAGAAATAGAAACAACCATTTAGGAGACATGACTCAAAATTCAGTGCCAAATTTAAATTATAAATACATTGTTCTTTCCAATGGCCTTCTTGATTATTTTAACAAGTTCAGTCTTTAACTACAGGATAATAGAGTGGATGCTAACCACTCAGATATGTGTGTTTGCTTGTATATATGTAAATAAATGCATATACCAAATGTTGCATCTTTAATTTTATAATAAAACTACAGTATCCTTTCTTACTAAGGTCTCATTAAGTCAGATTTTAAGAGCAGATATAATTCATAAAATTTTACATTCTTTACTTTCAATATGATTCTAGATGAAAGTCAAATTTTATCTTACAAGAAATATCTTTTTGGTCATAGTTTTCAAACAGAAAACAAGAATAAAAATGGCCAAATTGTTAATTGTACCCTTTATACTTAAAAGTTATCCTCATTTCCATTTTTCTTTCAATACAAAAGAATTTCAATTTCATATTAAGAGCATATTCCCATTAATGCTGATATAAGAAGTTATTTTTATGTTTAGCCATCATGGACTTTAAGCTTTGCTATTTTTCTTAGTTCTCAAGCATCTGCAGTCATCATTTATATCATTTATATGTCACCTCTAAAGGAAGCCACAATTTGTAAGTGTGAGTAATAAATTTAAGATTGTGGTAGTTGCATACCAGTTCCTAAAGGTAAACTTCTGTAGGTGTTTATATGTCAGAGAAGCTAAAAATCTGGGTGAAATCAGGGGAGATCCCTCTTATAATGGAAATCACTCTTTGCGCAGGAACAGCCAGAATGACTAGGAAGATCTGCCTTAAGACTACCTATAGACTAAGGCAAACTTTGTCAGATATCCTAGTTAAATTTCTATGCCAAGAAATTTCACTCAGTATGAAATCTTCACCTGTCCATTTTTCTCTTTATGCTGAAGAGTTCAAGCATGTGTAACTCTGCACTGATATGCCCAGGAGTATCATTTCTCCTTTTTTATCCAAGAGAGAAAAAGAAATGCAGGTTTTCTGGACTCTGTAATCCCTGGCAAATACCATCTGAGATGAAACCCATAGCAGCATAATGTTGGTTTGTTGTTTCAGTGTATTTGATAGGGTGCAAGAAGATCTTTGCTGTTATCAGTCAGATTGCCATTTCTATCCAACTTTAAAATCCTATTAGTAAAAAGGCAGCCATGCCTGTCTGTCCCTCAGAGATTTCTAAGGGAGACATAGCCCCTTCTAGAATGCATATAAAGATAATATAATTAACTATAAACTCCTTGTATGAAACAAATATGCATTTAATCTAGACTTCAAAGTAGAAAAAGGTTTGGGTCTCTTGTTCTTAGTGTTTTTAAAACACTTTGCACTTAAAAAAATATGGCAAACAAATAAACAGACCATGTGAATTTTTAAAGTGCTTTCCAAGGCATGTTGTATTTTAAGTACAGTTTCAGTCCTAACTCTAACCAGCCTAGAGCTACATGCTGAGAATTGATGTTCATGTGCTACTGTAAGATTTTGAAGAGCTTTCTTGAATCACTGAAGATTAAATTATGTTCCATCTGACTTTCCAGTTCACTATAATTTATGATGTTTGAGAAGTAGCATGATATAAGTAATAACTCTCAATTAACCAAAATAGCCAGTTAACTTGAAAATTCCACTATTAGCCATTTTTATAAACAAAATCTTTTGGTAATTCATTCTAGACTAAGCAGAATTGTTTTGTGTACAATCTGTGAAAAATGTTTGCTAAATAAATGAATAGTATAAACTTGGTGAGAGAGGTTATTTTTAAAACCAAAGTTGTTAGTGCATTCATTATTTGATTACATATTGAATCTGTTCCATAAAGCAAGAACTATTTGTAAAGCAGGCAGGGACAGCTACTTAAATTTTTTAAATTGACAGTTACTTTAAATTGTTGTATTTATTTGAAAACAGTAAGTATATTTTATGAAATGTTTTGTAGTTCTGACTTTTTCTTAGTCTTCCTCTAAATTTGTTTCAATTATTAACTATTTTATCATATTTTCTGTTATAAAATTAATTATGACTGAGCCTTATGTATTTAAAAAATAATTTTTGAAAGACCTCTGTGAAAGCCAAATTTACAGTTAACAATAAACCATAAAGTATAAACAGCAAATAGAGTGAACACTGGGGTTAGAGGAAAATATTTTCAATTGGGTCATAGAAAGGAAAAATAGAAAAATTGAATTAAAATAAAAAATTTAAATCTCACGCTGGTAAGATATATGAAATTTTGTCTAAAATTATGTAATGACAAATAATATGATTCTTCTGAACTATTATAGACAGATAGGTTCCCGCAAGGGTGGTAGTTGTACACATACTATGCATTTTGATTTAAGGGTTGACTTCTTTTTGAAATCCAAAATGTGTTAGCCTCTATAAAAAGCTTAAAGGAAGCTTATAATCCAATAAAACAGGATTGGCATACAGTTGTGTTTAACTTTGAGGCTTTTAGTTTTATTGGAAGCCAGAGCAAGAGAATAAAGGGAGTTGGTAATAAATTCGCAAATGGACTTCCCATTTCACATTGGAGGCTTTCTGGAAGAGTTATTTGAGCTTGACTTTTTCAAGGTAATGTCCATGTTTAAAATTGTTCAGCTCTCAAGATAATAAGAGTATATTAAGATTTAAACTTGAAAACGAAATTTGCAAACAATATGATTAATGCCAACACATTGTGGACTGGTGAAAGGTCTGTGACATTATTACATATGAAATGATATAACCAGCATGTTCCCCAAACTGTGTTTCATGGACCAGTATTTCAGCCTGATCAAGAGACCATAAGAAAAGGATGGACAAATGAATTTAGAAATAGGATATTATATTGCCCTCTTGGAGAAACACAGTGCCTATTAGCCTCTTAAACACTCTTAACAGGTCCTGAACTAAAGGAACTGTTTAGAAGTTTGGTTTGTTTCCCAAATTTATTTGATTAGAGAACAATTTTAGAAAATGAAACACTCACTTCTGCCTTGTTTCTTCCAGTAAGGGATGGGAAATTACCACCATCTTGTATCTTCCTTTTAGATAGGAATGCACGTAGTACTGAGTGACATCATTTAAATGAAAGTTGCCCAGTAGTCTTGTCATTTTTTTGTGCATTTCTTTCACACCTAATATTAATGCTCTCAAGGTTTAAATTTTTATTTGTAAAACTGGCATCTTTGTCCAATGTAACTCTTTTTTACATCCAAGAAGAGCAGTGTATCAAAATTAAAACGTACTGCTTTTATTGTTATCCTCCAGAAGAGAGCTGATCATATTCTTTTTTCTTAGTTCTAAGATATTCTTTTCCCACTTCTTCACTTTCCTGAAATTGGGATGTGTATGCAATATGTGTGTGTTTGATGTTGTAGATTTTTTCCCCCTAGAAAAGCTATTGCAAAGTCAATGTGTATGTCTTCTATTCATCGTATCTTAAAACTGAAGAAATCTGGTCTTTTGTTATCTTATACTTTCTTTAGTGGTAAGTTTCAAGTAAGACAAATATGTGAAGCTCCTGTGTTTCTGGGGAACAGACACAGACTCAGGCTACCTTAAAGAGCAGGCAGATTACTATAAACATCAGAAGGGACTAGACTAGAATGTTCTTTGGGCCTGAGGCAGTTTTCTGGATCAGCTGTGGTCTCTATTTCTCCTTCATGGCTGATGTGGTCTATTTGTTTGTGCCTGTCTGCTGTTTAATTCTACTATCACAGCCAATCTTTTGTCTTTTCACCAGTCCAAATTTAGCAAAGAGCCATTCTGATTGGTTTAATTATAGACACCTTACGGGAGCATAGCTGAGGACCCAGACAAAGGCCGTCAGGCCATCCTGGGTCAGATGCCGACAGTGATGCTGTCAGTGGTCTATCCTAGCACAAAAATGGGCCTGATGCTACTGCCCTGCAGGGAAGGAGGCTGGGCATGCTAAGCATTCCCATTAATATATTCAGGGAAACAAAAGTAGTCTATCCCTGGTTGATCTAAAAGACAAGTCCAAGAAATGACTTAACAAGCTTCTTAATTATGACAGACCTCTTATGTGAGGCTAGGTAGCTGAGAATAAGGACAAGAGAAATTTCTAGGATTCAGAAGTAACTGGGGCTGCATTTCAGATTGTCTTTTACTTACCACCAATAACTGTATAACTGTATTGGATGAGTTGGAGTTCTATAGGCAACTCAGTGAAGCAGAGGGAACAATAAAACTGGACCAGAAAAGTAATATAAATTATGAAATTTGAAAATGTAGTCTACATTTCATAAACTCAGCAGTTTGCAACATGTGTATTACACTTCGATATGCCAAACAACTTTTCTATAACAACTTAATCAATGGGTATACTTTTGCCATTTTTTCCTCTGAAGTTTTTACTCTACAATTCTTGAGATGTTCGGCTCTAACACAGACATATGAATTGATGGTTCTCTCTCATTCTTTTATGAGTGATGAACATACAGTACTACTTCTATGGGCCTGTGTGCCCTAGAGATGACTGTAACCTGCTATTGATCAGCTGATTGAAGATAAATGGCTTAGCTGCTTGTATTGCAGATTACATCATTAACATGGTCAGTAAACCATGAATTGTTCAATAAGGCGTTTATCTTTTTTCATTTTACTTCTGCTCTTTTATCATTTTTATTAGAAAAGACAAAATTACCCACACTAACCAGCAAGATCAGTAGAAAAGAGATCCAGTAGGGTACCATTATGGCTGCAAAAGTTGCAGACCTCTAACTTCTAATGGTTTAATGATATTTAGTATGTTTTTGAACTGAAGAAAATATAGAGTTTTAATAATCTTTTTGTGTTTCTTTTACAGCTTCCTTTTGCCTCATATTTACTAGAAGCAGTACTGGAAAAAATAAATGAAAAAAAGAAACTAGTTGAAGGATATTTCACAATTATGAAAGATATTAGATGATATTAAAATGGAGAGCTTTATACAAATGTGAAAACTTTTTATGTGGTGTGATTGGAATATATGCATTGCAATCCTGATACAGTATCTGCTCCAACTATCAATAGTCAGGTTCAATACAAAAATAAGAAGTCTCTGAAAATAATTAATTGCTGAACAAGTGAAACTAATTAAGTGCATAGCCATTTAAAAGGAAATAGTGTAGCATTTGATTGTTGAATACAAATATTGCCACAAATCAATGCAAACTTAAAAATGATTTTCCTTCTAGTGCATTAAAAGAAACTGAACAGGCTTGGCACACAAATTGGTCTGAGCATAGGAAGAAAAAGTATCAACTAAGGATTTAATGTTTTAAGTTTCATAAAGAAACTAGATTTTTTACATAAAACTGCTACAGATGGCCACAAGTGGTCCAGGGAGCAACAGATTTGTATTACGAGCAAATATAAAATGAAGCATCATAACTTGAGCATTTATTGAAATAAATTGTGTGGTCCAATTGAATCTGTTCTCATTGATGTGCTGGTTTATGTAGGAGATACTGTGTATTTGTACAACTATTTGGCAAAAATAAAAACATTTTCTTCTCTCTCTTAAATTCACAATAGTATATGTTGTGTAGTCATATAAATTCACAGGGGACCACAAACCCAGTGTATAAAATTAGGCTCTAATTAACAGAACTACTACTGTGGTCAACTAATTAAAGTTACATTCTTAACTATGATGTCATTCTTGCTTAGATTCCTGAACATTCCCACCTCATTTCACCTCTTCACCGTGTTCCTGCCATACCCTTTTCGGTTCCTCTAATTCACCAAACTGGTGCCTGCCTCCCACATTTGCCCTTGGTCTTCTCTCTTTCTAGAATACTCTGCACTCAACTTTCCTCATGGCTGGCTCCTTCTCATCATTCAGGTCCAGCTTCCCCGGTCCCTCAGAGACACATTCTCTGACCAGCTTACTATTTTATTTCCTCATAGCACAAAATTATCTGTCTGTTCATGTATATGTTTTCTTGTTTATTTTCTTTTTTCCCCTCTTTAGTATGTAGGTCCCATGAGATTAAAACAAGGGTTGGCAGATTATAGCCTGCAGGGCGAATCTGGCCTACTACCTGTTTTTTATGGCCCACAAGCTAAGAATGATTTTTGCCTTATTAAATGGTTTTTAAAAAATCAAAAGGAGAATAATATTTTGTAGCATGTGAAAATTATATAAAATTCAAATTTTGGTGTCCTTCAATAAAGTTTTATTGGAACACGGTGGTGCTCATTCATTTCTGTATTACTTATGGTTGCTTTCACACTACATGAGTGTAGCTGAGTAGTTACGGAAGAGACTGTGCTTCTCTCATAACTTTGCACTACTGCTTGGAATACTACAAATCACAATGACACAGTTACAACTTGACAGAATTTTAGGTGACACAAATACTGCCTAACTGTAATTTAAAACAAACAAACAAACAAAAAAACCAGCACATACTTTTCATGTCAAAACAAGAAAAGAAAAAAGAAATGACCATCAAATGTCACACACTTAAGGCACAATGAAGTGTGGATTTTGTTATTGAATTAGATGGCGAAGCATTGTGTTTATTATGTGATGACACTATATGCCCAAAGGATGCAATTAAAACATTACCATACTAAGCATTCATCACAATATTCCCAACTCACAGGAAAGCACGAGTAATAAAAAATTACAAAACTTAAGATATAATACTTTATTACAGCAAAATTTTGTTACAAAGATAAAAATGAGACTGCATAGTATGACTTTGATACCAAGACTAAATAAAGACAGTGTACAAAAAAAGGAAAATGTGGTAGACTGAGAAATGGCCCCTGAAGATGTTCACTCCTTAATCCCTGAAACCTGTAAATGTGTTACCTTATATGTCAAAAGGAAATTTGCAAATATGATTAAGTCAAGGATCTTGAGTGGGAAGATTATCTTGGATTACTGATGTGAGCCTGATGAAACTGCAAGTGTTCTTATGGGAGGGAGGCAGGAAGAGTCAGAGAGAGTAATTCTACCAGAGAGGTAGAAAGAGAAATTTGAAGATGCTACACTACTGACTTAAAATATGGAGGAAAAGGCTATGAGCCAAAGAATGTGGATGGCCCTTGGAGACCAGAAAAGGCAAGGAAACAGATTCTTCCTGTAACCTTGGGAAAAGCTCAGTCCTGTCAGCACCTTGACTTTACCCCAGTGAAACTGATTTTGGACATCTAGAAATGTAAGATAATACATTTTATCTAATTTAAGCCACTAAGTTTGTGGTACTTTGTGACTGCAAAAATAGAAGTTGCCAAAAATCTGTTTAGAAGTTTTACGTCTATGTTCATGAGGGATATTGGTCAAAAGATACACAATCAGGGCTGGTTCAATATTCAGAAATCAATCAGTGTAAACCACCATATTAATAGGCTAAAAGTAACATGCGATCATAAAATTTGATACAGAAAAAGCATGTGACAAAAATTGGCACTCATTTATTTAAAAAAAACTCAGAGCCGGGCACAGTGACTCACGCCTGTAATCCCAGCACTTTGGGAGGCCTAGGTGGGCAGATCATGAGGTCAGGAGATTGAGACCGTCTTGGCTAACACAGTGAAACCCAATCTCTACTAAAAATACAAAAAATTAGCCGGACGTGGTGGCGGGTGCCTGTAGTTCCAGCTACTCTGGAGGCTGAGGCAGGAGAATAGCCTAAATCCGGGAGGGGGAGCTTGCAGTGAACCGAGATCGCGCCGCTGCACTCCAGCCTGGGCGACAGAGTGAGACTCCCTCTCAAAAATAAAATAAAATAACAAACTCAGAAAACTAGAAATAGGGACTTCTCAATTTGATAAAACCATCTTTTAAAAGCCTACAGCTAACATTGTACGTAATGATGAAGACCGAACACTTGCGCCTATAATCAGGAACAAGGCAAAGATTTCAACTCTCACCACTTTCACTCAACATAACGTGGGAAATTCTAGCCTGCCTAGTAAGGCAAGAAAAGGAAATAAAAGGCATCCAGATTGGAAAGGAAAAAGAAAACTACTCAAAACACAACGAGAACAAAAACTTTACAGAATTAATGAGTTCAGCAAGATCTCAAGATACAAAATCAACATAGAAAAATTGTGTTTCTATACTCCAGTAAACTAGTAAAAAAAATGTGGAAACAGAAATTAAAAATACAGTACAATTTACGATTTCCTGAAACAGAGAAACACTTAGGTAAAAAACCTGACAAAACGTGTGTAGTACTTGTAGATGAAAATTATAAAACACTAGTGAAAGAAATCAAAAAGATCTAATAAATTAGGAGACATAGTGAGAGCATGAGTTAGGATACTTATGTTAAAGATGCCAGATGTCTGCAAATTTTTATAAAGATTTAACACAGTTCCTATCAACATCACAGCAAGAGATTTAGGAAACAGAAAAATTTTCTAAAATGTATATGGGAACTCAGAGAAACTAGAAGAGAGAAAAAAAAACTAAGAAGCATAATAGTGGAGACATCACTTTACCCAGTTTCAAGATGTTTTACATAGCTACACTAATCAGGAGTGTGTGGTGCTAGGAGGCAGAGGGCTGGACAAATAAATCCATGGAACAGAATAGGGAACCAAGAAATACACTAAAGCAAATATGTCCAACTGATTTGAGACAAAGGTTCAAAAGCAATTCAATAGAGGCGTAATCGCCTTTTTGACAAATGGTCCTGAAGTAGTTGGGCATCTTGGGTTAAAGAAAAAAAATCTTGACCTAAACCTCACACATCACATATTCAGACAAAATTACATCAAAATGGGTCAACATTTAAATGTAAAATGTAGAATATAACGTGAGAGAAAATCTTCAGGACCTCAGATTTGGTGAAGAATTTCTAGCCATGACACCAGAAGTGTGATGCAAAAAAGAAAAATTGGTAAGTTTTAGTTCATCAAAATTAAAAACTTTTGCCCTGGGAATAGACAAGCTACAGAATGGGGAAAATCATTTGCAAATCACATAACTGACGAAGGATTCATATCTAAAATAAACAATTCTCAACTCAACAGTAAACTCAACAACAACAAAACAATCCTCTGTGGGTAACATTTATATCCTGGGAGATTATGAAATGAGTTTGGGGCTATGGCTGCTATGAGTGAAAGTTGTCATGTGTTTCAGAATATGGGACAGCGGAAAAAGTGAATTTTAACTCTTCAACAATACCCCTTACTCATCTATTGAAAGCTTTGCCTATTTTAATTTCTTCTTCAAATTATGCAGGATTCTTCCCAGTAGCATAAATGACCCTTGGATTTAGAGGGTGGAAAGTGAAAATTACTCTAATAAATTTGTAGCCACAATGAGAAAGGCTTACTTAATAATCTCAAATAGCTGTAAAACCAAACAAACGTACCAGAAAACATTTGAGAGAGCCATTTATTGGCCTATGTTCAGAAGAGTTCATGAGATACATGGGCAGAAGAGTTGTTATTTTTTTCTCTTTAAAAAAATTGTAATTGATACATAATTTTACATGTGTAGGGGGTAAAATAGAATGTTTCAATGCATGTGTACCTTGGGTAATAATTAAATCAGGATAATTATATTTGTCACCTCAGACATTTATTACTTATTTGTGGTAAGAACATTCAAAATCCTGTCTTTATTTTATTTTAGATACAGGGGGCACGTCTGTAGGTTTGCTAAATGAATGCATTGCATGATTCTGAACTTTGAGTTTCTAATAATCTCATCACCCAAGTAGCAAACAGTACCTTATACATAATTTTTCAACCCTTTCTCCCTCCTTTTCCCCACTTTTGGAATCCCCCGTGCTTATTGTTTCCATCTTTGTGTTTGTGTATACCCAATGTTTATCTCCCACTTTTAAATGAGAACTTGAGGTATTTTGTTTTCTGTTTCTGTATTAATTTGCTTAGCACAATGACTTCCAGCTCCATTCCCACTGTTGCACAGGATATGCTTTTGTTCTTTTTTAAGGCTGCATAGTATTCCATGGTGTATGTATCTTCTACATTTTCTTTATCCAGTCCACCATTGATAGGCAGTTGGGTTGATTCCATGTCTGCTATTGTGAAGAATGCTGCAATGAACATACAAACGCAGGTATCGTTTTAATAGAATGATTTACTTTCCTTTGCTTATATAACTACTAATTGGGTTGCTGGGTCAAATAGTAATTCTGTTTTTAGTCTGAAGAATTGCTATTTTTAATTCCTACATTCCCATGCATGTAGCTGCCTTTGGTATTAACACAAATTTATATAAGTGGCTTAATATAATGGGATAAAAATGACTTTTTTGTTGCCTGTGACATGAAAGCTTTCGTCGAAAAGGTGATTTGTTTTAAAAAGCCTCTTGACTATTGTGCTTTGGTATCAGGATGATGTTGGCCTCATAAAATGAGTGAGGGAGGATTCCCTCTTTTTCTATTGATTGGAATAGTTTCAGAAGGAATGGTACCAGCTCCTCCTTGTACCTCTGGTAGAATTCAGCTGTGAATCCATCTGGTCCTGGCACAAGTATACATATGTAGCAAACCTGCACGTTGTGCACATGTACCCTACAACTTGAAGTTTAATAATAATAAATAAATTAAAAAAAAAAAGCCTCTTGACTTACCTTTTAATTTTTAAACACACAGACATACTTGATTAAATTTTTTTTCTGCTCACCAAGGAATGGTAGACACTACAAACACTTTTGCACATAGTCCAATCCTCATTTCCTTCTTTCTTCAACACACAGTCTACAAAACCACAGTTTTGACGTCAGCTCCTTCCAACACTTTTTGCCACATTCAACTTTCCTTTCACCTAGGAAATAATCATTAGGGATAATTTAAAAGAAGGTGGTGCCCCTGCCTTCTGTACTCTTACATTTTGTGATAGAGAAAATGTCGCTCTTTGTTAATGCTGACCCCAGCACAAAGGCCTCACAGTCACCCAGAAAGAAGTATTAGAGACTTCCCTGGGTTCATGCTCCACCCTGTAGGTCAGAATTGTTTTAGCATACAACCCTCTCTGTTCTTCCTTAGTGCACTAATCATGACACTTTCTTCATGAATTCAGTGATGGACCCAAGCCAGAAAAAGAAAAGCACAGTCAAGACATTTTTATTTCCCAGATTTTTCTTTATTTTTATATAACGTTTTATTTCAGAATAATTTAATATTCACAAGAAGTTGCAAAAGTAGTAAGGAGAGTTTTGAATATGCTTCACCCAGATTTCCTGAATGGTAAC